AGCGCTGAATGTGAATGTTCTCCGATAGCCGATGTATTCCTTAAAAGGATGAACCACTAGAGGGAGCATACCGAAAAATGTCACGTAATCTGAAGGTATTCTTATCAAAACATTTCACTGTATCCTTTACTATTCCACAAAGGTTTTTTGTGATCGGTAGCAACAAACATAACTTATTCCATTAAGGAGATCTCTCAAGCATGTTAGTGTTTATCTAGAGTGTCTATATTTTCGCAAGCGACACTTCGAGAAATGACTTCGCTAACTTCAATGTTAACAAATAAAAAAATTATAATTATTAATAAAAGATTGATGTTTTAAACACGCCATAGACTTAATTTTAATGAAAGCACTGTACAAATGATCTTGAGCAGCAAATTTAAATAATGCAAAATTAGAATTTGCATATTGGTTTGTCATCGCACAAATCATTTCACAGAAAAATTTATCACATCCAAATACGAAATGTGTAGAAAAGTGGTCTCAAATTCAAATTGCATTGGGACCGAATGTTCGATCTAAAAGCAGCTGACGGACCAAAGAATTCTTTAAGCAAATGTTATACTTTTTATACAACAAATAATAAAAAGAAATATTAGAACAAAAATGAAAAATTTTTAAAAATCTGAAAGGTTTCGGATTTTAAATTACGTCCAAAGAAGCGTTTTTTTACGTTTTGTGTGTTACCTTTATTTATTAAATATCATGTTCAACGTACTCAATTCAACAGCAATATCGCAAAACAGTTTTAAAATGAGCATATCTTTAAATTTTCGATACAGTCTCGCGCGCTGGAGATAAAAATGTTTTTTTTTCGTAGTGTTGCCATTTCTCGCTTTGAAATCGTTTACTTTGTTAATAAAAAATTCGTTGAAGTGTTACAAAATATGAAATCGATAATAAAATTAATTTCAAAGAATTCTTCCCAAGCCCATAATCTATGGAAGCTTACGTTATTAAATTTTGATGGCTCTAGGTACCGTTGTTTTATCACATTGCAAGAAATACACATAAATTCATGCAGATTCTTCATTATTTAATTTCTTAAATATAATGCAGGGCGATAATATTGGGTGGCAGCACTTTGAAAAGTGATTCGCCGTTTATAGGTTTCAATAAAAAAATACCGAAAGGAAATTAATAGTCCTTCTGGGCAAATTGCTCCTTTGGACTAAAAAATCTGAAAGCTCTCAGATTCTATAATACACCCAAAGGGCTTTTGTTAACGTTTTTTGTGCTACCTTTATTTACTAAATACAAGCCAAATTACCCGATGCCAGTTAAGATAGATTGAGAGTAATGTATCTAACAACAGAAAGAACGATACCACTGTAATCTTTCTCTAATAACGATGCAAAAAGTACGATTCATAGTCTTCCATTTCTCACTCTGATGCCATATGGAACGCACATAAAAATTTTAATAGAAAAATAAACTAATTCTCTCTCATTATATCAGCAGCAATGCCACGCAGGTTTTAAAACAGTTTTCGTCTTTCTAATCAAATGGTCAAAAAAGCTCAAGTTCCATCCAATATTTTACCTATATTATTCAATTTTAGTTGATTAAATGTAGCAAAAATGTCCTCATAATTGATCAGAAATCGATAACACGAACAAACAAACGCACAAACAGACTTTCTTTTTTATAATATATGGATTTTGTAAAATTTACTTAAAGTTTTGATTAACGATTTGATTATTTCATCGCAAAACTTAGAAATATTTTATTAACTAACTCTACGATTTGAAGGCGAGCAGTAGCAACGCTTCTTGAAATAAAGCAGATTTTTATCTCCAACGTGCGAGACTGCCGCTTATAGTAAACCGACGCAAAATGCCAAAAGAAAATTAATAGCTTTCTGAGCAAATTGCTCCTCTCGGCTAATTATGTTTATTTTATCTCTGAAGTCTAAAAGTTAGTAATTGAAAGTCTAAAAGTTAGTAATTGAAAGTTAGAAATAATTTTTGATTTTGCCTTGTAATTCAAATTCATTCACAAATAAATATTAAATTTTTAAATTTGCATTTATTTCAGGTAATTCCAGTATACTGAATTAACCGCTAAATAACGTATTTTTAACCTTAACCGGAAATTTCAGAATACTGAAGCGCAACCAGCTATCGGCTAGAAAACTAAATTCGCTGACTGTACGAACATCGTGAATTCTGTCACATTATCCCAGTGGCGTGGCCTGACGTATAATATTCAAGAAACTCCAATCTAGTAATTCTATCTTCTTCCCTTCAGTAGTAGTCGTGCAGATAAATTCATTCTATATCTTTATCCGTCTAAAATTATAAGCACCGTAGGGGTTCGCCGAAAACATTGCGGACAAAAACGTCGCGGAGAAAACAACGCAAGGCGAAAATGTCGTGGAACAAAATATCGTCGGAGAAAACCAGTCAAAGAGAAAACATCGTCGTACAAAATATCATCATAGAAAAATAAAGCGGTTCAAAAACTTTGCAGTTTAAAAACATCGTCGTCGAAAATATCGTGGTAAAAAGTAAAGTACCTACAAATCATCTCATGCCGATAACATCGCAGATATGCGTTTTTCTGCCTTTAATAACTGTAAAAGAATACTCACATATTCATTTGTTAGCGCAGGATGGAAAAAGGATAGTTTTTACCTTCATATTTTTTGTTAACTAATAAATATTTGTTGAAAATATAAAATAGAAACTTAAGCATAGAAAATTAATGCAACTTATAGTACAGGGTTATCCAAATTAAACTTCCCCAACTCAAAGGCCTGTGCAGAGTGTTGTATGGATCATAATGTGATGACATTTTAAAAACACACTTCAGATCATGCGCTCGAGATTTATTACACAAAAAAATTAGTATAAGAAGTTACCGATAGGTGGCGCTGTAACACTAGTAATGTGCATATTGCAGCAACGTGATTTGCAGAAATAAAGCTTCTGCGATACGTATCCAAAAGACGAGCCCTACAAAAGTGGAAGACAGGCCTTGCACAGGCAGTTGTTTCCAGCTCGCTGATGCACAAAGGGACTTTGAAAGACAAAGCTCTGTTAGTAAAACTTTTCTACCAGAATGACGAGAACTTCTGTGCTGCGGTAAGAGCATTCCGTCGGCTGAAGATCTTACGCCGATGACCAATGACACCAAGCACTCTACGAGACATGATGAAGACGTTCGAAAGAACGCGACAGCTTGGGAAATTTTACCAGGTAGAGGACGACAGGTTGTGAATCTGCACGCGTAGAAGACGTTGCTTTGGCGGTCGTGGACCCCACTAGCCAATCGCCACATGGTGTTGTCAGTGTGCTAACTGTTTCTCGTGCTGTTGATATGCGTTATACGACCGTCTAGCGTGTGATGCGTCGAATCCTCGATTATTTTCCTTACAAAATCTATAGTCGTCATCAGCTGTCCGACGGGGATCCTGTAGTTCGGGAAACATTTGCATTGCAGTTCCTTGCCAGAAAGGAAGTCGATGCTGCTTGGCCGTGGAACATCCTTTGGACGGATGAGGCCCATTTCACCTGAATGGTCAAGTGAATACGCACAACTGCCGCATTTGGGCAAGTGAAAACCCGCGCACAATCCATCAAATGCCCTTGAACCCTCCAAAGGTTACCGTATGGTGCGGTTTCACTGCAACATTTGTCATTGGACCTTATTGTTTTGAAGAGGTGACTCCAACAGGGTACAAAACCTGCTCTGTCACAGGAAAACGGTATCAGAACATGTTGACAACGTTTGTGATCCCTGAACTGCAACAACGTGGCCGCCTCCAGGACACGATATTTATGCAGGATGGTGCACCTCCCCATATTCTTCGTGGCGTTCAACAGGTGTTACGGGCAACTTTTACCGATGCACGTGTGATCAGCCGCTGTTTCCCTACAGCTTGTCCTCCCCGCTCGCCTGATCTCACGCCATGCGACTTTTGGTTATGAGGATTCTTAAAGGATCGGGTCTACCGAGAACACCCAGCAACCTTGGCACATCTGAAAGACGCAATTATTCGACATTTTCGTGGAATTAATGTGGATTTACTGCGTTCCGCTGTAAAACACACTGCTTTGCGAATGGAAAGAGTTGTGGAGAACCACGGCACACATATAGAACATGTGTAGAGCGCATAATCTGAAGTGTCTGTTTTTAAAATTTCATCACATTATGACCCATACAACACTCTGCACAGGCCTCTGAGTTGGAGAAGTTTAATTTGGATAACCCTGTACTTAATAGAATTTTAAGCTGACACAGTTAACTAACAAAGGTCATTAATAATTTTTTCATAAAGTTTTACTGGTAATTTTTCATGAAGAGAATAATCTAAAAAAGAATAGGAAAAGGAAGATAAGTAAGTGCATGACTTTATCTATAAAAAAATTGCAATAAGTTAATTATGAGATTATTTTCTTCAGTTTTGTTAATCTGATACTCTTACAGTAAAAATTATTTCTTATTTTGTTTAAATTTCTTGTTCTGCTTTTTTAAAAATTTACTTGTTAATAAAAGATATTAACGTAAAAATTATCCTTCTTTCCATCTTGCGCTCACAAATCATTATGCGAATATCCATTTACAGTTATTAAAGCCTGAAAAACGCATGTCTGCGATGTTATCGTCATGCGATGATTTGTAGGTACTTTATTTTTTACCGCGATATTTTCGACGGCGATGTTTTTAAACTGCGAAGTTTTTGAACCGTTTTATTTTCGACGACGATATTTTGCACCACGACGTTTTAGAACTGCGACGTTTTCTCTCTGTTTTATTTTCTCCCAGGATGTTTTCTACCACGACATTTTCGCCTTGTGTTGTTTTCTCCGCAACGTTTTCGTCCGCGATGTTTTCGGTTGTAACCAATTAAAATGCATTCGCAAGACACACAAAATTGCTTTGAGGGCAGTGAGTTTGAGATCACTGATACACGCTATATTCTGTACGATATGTTAATAAATTCAATAATTTGTATTTTTATCCGATATCTATTTGATAACATTACTTACTTTCAGATGTTAGTTGTATTGACAACAAGACGGCACTTGTCGTGGAGCCTCATCTGTGCTTGACAGCTTCCAAAGACACGGCCTCTGTCCCTTCTGCTGTCCGGTCATGTGAAATCACTTGCTCTCCTCGGTGCGTCCTGACGACCTGGTGTTCATGGACAGAGTGCGTTTATGGATACAAGTCCAGAAGATCACGTGGCAGGGAGCTCGTAGGTAGTGAGGAGGTCATAAATCTGTTCAAAACGTAAAATTTGTTTATTGTCCATTTATTTATCTATTACTTGATGGGGAAGAAATATATACACATTATGCTAATTTACTCGTCTTTTTGGAATCTGTGAGTTATTTGACTTTTATTAATACCATAGCAAGAGAAGAAGGCATCATCAGATCATTCTAGAAAAATTACTCTTATAGACTGGGATATATGTATGTTGGAAAATTTTAAAATATCGCCTAGCATTATGTTAAATTATCATCTGGGCCCAGCGTCTTTAAAAGCTTACACTTTATGTACTCTTTAAACTATTTTCAGAATTTCAAGCAGTTTTTTTAATGCAGAATTGCAAGTATTACAAAATGCAGAAAAATAAGCGAAGTTGTTTATAAATCCAAAATAGAGCAAAATATATTAATTTAGAAGTCAAACAACAAAAATCAGTGTTATATTTACAAAATTTTCACAGGACTAGTTTCGATGGTTTTACCGAACCACCATCCTCAGCTGCAAAACCGCAAATGAACAAGATAGGAAATAATGATTAGATAAGATAAGAAAGCCTGAACAAGAATAAGCAAGTGGCGTCATCTGTTGGTGAAACCAGAACTAAAACATAATTTCTTTAAAGGCCAAAGGCAAATTTGGATTGGAATTAGGATCGTTAACTAGAACAGAAAGATTTTTATGAATGTGAAATGCCTCTAGAAAATCCAGTTCTCCATTGGAAGATGTTTTTTGAATAATTTTGGCAGCAGAAAAATTGAAAGTGTGATTTTCGGACCAACATTGTTGAGCAACAGAAGACTTCTGTGTTTCCTTTTTTCTAACATACGCCTCATGTTCCTTGACGCGAAATTTTAAGGCTCTCTTAGTTTGGCCAATAAATTAAACTGCTGCCAAAATTATTCAAAAAACATCTTCCATTGGAGAACTGGATTTTCTAGAGGCATTTCACATTCATAAAAATCTTTCTGTTCTAGTTAACCATCCTAATTCCAATCCAAATTTGCCTTCGGCCTTTAAAGAAATTTTGTTTTAGTTCTGGTTTCACAAACAGATGACGCCACTTGTTATTCTTGTCCAGCTTTCTTATCTTATCTAATCATTATTTCCTATCTTGTTCATTTGCGGTTTTGCAGCAGAGGATGGTGGTTCGGTAAAACCATCGAAACTAGTGCTGTGAAAATTTTGTAAATATAACGCTGATTTTTGTTGTTTGACTTCTGAATTAGTATTTATTCGGCGTGTTATTGTGTCTTAATTAGCAAAATATATGATAAATAAAATTACAAGTATAATAAAATAATGCACAAAATGCATAAACTCATAAAGAAAACCTAATTCACAATAATACGAAATAACGAAATAGATAAACATTAATATAGAATAATTTACAATAAATGCAAACAATTTACTCTTGTATCTTATCTAACTATCTATCTATCTGTACCTCTCTATATATGTATATATGTGTAATATCTTGCAATTTTAGAATAGCTATAATATATTGGGATATGCTTTATTGCTTTGTAATGATGACTCTTGTGGACAAAAGTAAGCTAATACAAGCCGTAATTTATTGCTGGACAAATATTTCTTGAAATACACATCAATCTTATTCACACATCATCCTGGATGCAGTAGGTACCCAACAATTTCTGGAAGCTTAGATCTTTAAAAAATATGGAATATGTTTATGATATATTTAATACATATATACGCTTTTAGCATCAACATTATTCAAGCCGAAATTCCAGTTTTAAATTAGGAGTATTCAGCATAAAATTTAGGAAATGATAATCTTAAAAAGACGATACAGATATCGAATTACCCAACTTTCTGTATCTTTATTTGCTTTGCAATTTATAAATAATACTATTTATAAATTTAATTTCACTTTCTACTATGAAATAAAAATTAGCGTTATGGCAAAAATTAAAATTAACTTGATTTAATCAAAGAAGGAGCTTTAAAAATTTTACAATTTCAAATAAACTGCTGGCCATTAAAATTTCAACACCAGAAGGGCTGATCTGATGAACGTCAAAAACCACATGAAAGGTTGGGATATGCAAATGATTAGTATTTCAGCGCATTTAGACGACGCAGGAGGGAGAAACGGCATCTGAAGCACTGCGTAAAAGAAAAGTTGTGTAGTTGATTTTTCATTCGGAAAGTGCTTTGTAAGGTTTGGAGAATGTCATGCTATGCCTCGAATAAGAAGAGGGAATGCTTACAGTAAGTTTCAAAATTCGAAAGAGGCAGGATCATTGCCTATTAAAAGTGTAGGTTTTCGTTCCGTGATATCGCTGGCCGCACTGGTCGACATCCAACCACTATCATGCGAATATGGAATTAATGGATTTCTGAGGGTCATTCTTAAACGGCATGCAGAATCTCAACGCTGTGAGGTCAGCCCTGAAAAACCGTACAACCACATCACGGACCAGTAGTCAGGAAATGGGCATGTTTGCAGCACGCCCAGTATCAGCTCCTAAGGTGCGTGGACGTTTGCAGCAGAGTGGACTATCAGCAGGATGACCATTGCTTCGGCTTCTCTTGACAATGCAGCGTAGATCGAGACGGCGACTCTGGTGCGCCAAACTACAAAGCTGCGCACCGGAGTGGCACAATGTCACCTTTTCAAACGAGTCTCGGTTTTACGTGCAGTATTTTAATATGGCTGTATAGTGAGTATGAGCCGTTTAGTGGAGTGTCCGAGGAGACCGCACATTGCCTGCTTGCATTCGATATCGGCATAGGGGCCCTGCACCTGGTGTGATGGTTTGGGCAGCCACTGGGTACACGACACGCACGTTTGTAGTTCAGATCGACAGTAATTGTGAAAGCAAATGGGTACATTTGTCCAGTAGTTGTACCCTATCTTCGAGGTTCCCAAACGCCATGTTCCAAGAATAATGCAAGACCACATGTTGCCCCTGGTGTTCTGATACACAAGGTATTTGATTGCTACCCTGTCTCACCCCAGATCTCTCACCCATTGAAAACATCTGGTCATGAGTTGCTGAGAGACTGGCCTGCCTCACTTCTCCAGCTAATGCGGCTGATGAAGTGTGGCGCAGACTTGAAGCATCATGGAATGAGTTGCCCATTTCTGTCATCCAAGCCCAGTTTGACTCCATGCCTAATGAAGTAAGGGCCGTTTTAGCTGCCAGGGGTGGCAGCCGTTTCTATTAATTTTGCACCCCTGTAAACCTCGAAAATGCTTACAAATTTAATCATTTTGTATTCAAGCCATACTGTTTACGAGCAATAAATATTTTTTTATGTTTGCTTTCCTTCATGGTGTTGCAATTTTAATGGTCAGCGATGTGTATATAAACAAGCAAATAAAATCTCATTTTCTCTATAACATATAAAAGGCTATAAAATTAAATAAATGCATTTCTTAACAAAATGAGTGTAATAGAGGTCAATTTAACCCTTTAAGCACAACTGAAATGGCTTTTAATATATTGGATTTTTGTGACACATTCGATCACAGCGTCATCTAGCGGATTGTCAAAACTCTATTACCAAAAATTGCGCTGATAATACCACTATACCTTCTAGTACACTGTAGCATGTCTAGTGTCCTTGGAATCGACTACAAGTTCGTTAGCCGTAATTGCTCACGGAATTTGAGTATCTGGGTAAAGTCTCTAGGCGCACTTTGTCGTATATTCCCGCAAACTGCTAGGATTGTTTTCTGTTGTTACACATGTTATGGAACGTTCAGGATGAAAATTCAATAGGAAGACTGTCTTCTAAGTGGTAGTTATTTTACTGTTAAAGGATACGATAAATCGTTTGATTGTCTTCACGAATCCAGAAATTAACATTCCGGGTAGTTGGGATACATACATCTTGATCTTAATATCATATCTATTTCAGATGTCATGCATCAAAGACTGGTTGAATTTTAAATAATTGATGACCTTTGCTTTGACAGACATTTCTGGGAAATTCTGAATATTCTAGAACTACCTAGAATATTCAGAATTTCCCAGAAACTATCCAGAACTTTCCATAAGAATTATGGAGACTAAACCGTCGCCATAATTTTGAGAATACATTAATTACTGCTAATAGATCTTCGATATTTTTAAAATTCATGTTATGTTAATCAAACGCTGCGTCATTGACATGATTCTGTTTGTTTACCAATCAAATTACTCAGCCAAACTTCTCAAATTTTGAATTGTTTCTCAAGCACTTTTTTTTTTCAAATTATGTTGAGAAATTGACAGGAAGTTTCAGAGGTTTTTATTATATGCTTCATTTGCTAAATTTAAGTTAACGTTTTAATAAATACAGATGCATTTTAAACTATATTCTTAAGTTTATTTTTAATTAAATGGAGATTTCGAATTTTACTTTCATTATTTGTAACTTTTATTTCTTATTATTATTCTCATTTGATATTGCTACGAGATGTTCAATAATACTTGAGAAAATTCAGAATTCCTGGATGTTATATTGACTTACAGATCTTGTATGTTCAAAATGTATTGATTATTTATTTTAGTGCTGATCAAATGACTAGATTATTTTCTTAAAGCTGTAACTTGCATTCAAAAAATCAAAAGTTTAGTCATTATTTGAAAGTATCACATCTTAGGTCTGTTCTTGAAGTGAATTATCTTGGAAAAGAAATGAGTATTAGTGTGATGTGATATTTGCACAAATATAATCCACGGTAAACAATTTATGTATTTAAAAAATGTGAAAGCCTTTACTTATTTTTTAGAGATAATTTGATAATTTTTTAGAGATAATAATAATTTGATAATTTTTTAGAGATAATTTGTATTACGTTTATTTGCAAACCATACATTTTATTCACAGATGCCGGCGAATCCAACACCAAGTGCTTGCAACATAAGTTATCAGAAACTGAGGATTGCCCAGTCTTTCCACCTGTACAAACTGGGAAGATTTCAGACATTGCCCATTGGTTATCCTGCATTGTGGATGAAGCCAATATGACTTTATTAGCTGTAAATGGTCGTATTGTTCGGCATGCTTGTGGTGAAGGATACCGTTACAAAGCAGGTGTACAAATGAATTCAAAACTGGGAATAGGACCTGGTAAATATGATACATTTTTCTTTCACTTTGCTACGTAAAACACTATGATGCTGAATGCGTAATAGCCCATTAAAATGAATACGATTTTTCTAATAAAAGTCTGAAAAGGCTTGCAATCTCAGAACCAGGTAAGAACTGCAGGCTTCGAGGCACATTTTAGATGAGTCACCAAATTTAGGGCTCACTCTTTTCGTACTCCTGGTCCCATCTGATATCGAGTTAAAAAGAAGAGAATATTGACTCTGCAATTGCTTTTAATAGTCCGAACCGAGCATAAAGACTATTTACTTTATTATTGTTATTATTACTACTACATTACAAGACACGGGTCATTTCTACGATTTACGTTTCTTTGATAGGGCTTGAAAAAGATTTTTGCTGGGTTGACTGCCCCATTGACTGTCAAATGTCAGAGTGGAGCGAATGGAGCACATGTGATGTACCTTGCGGTAAAGGCTTTAGAGAAAGAAGACGACAAGTGGTAGTGCCAGCAAATCAGCTAGGAAGGCCATGTCTGGGCACAGTGGATAAAATGGTAAGAGTGACGTTTTTCTCTTTCTTACTTGATTCAGCTTCTACATCGAGGTACATTGTTTCTGCAACAAATGGTAATAAAGGAGGATAGTTCGTAGGTTTTTAAGTTCAAAAGCTAAAATTATATATTCTTCTATTATCCTTTAGTAGGCTGCAGCGTTTAGGAGCGTACATGATTGCCAAAGCTATGACATTAATCTGAATTTAAGTTACACTCAATTTATTTTTGTATCATATCATGTAAATATTAGTTTACAACATTTAAGAATATGGTTCCCTCTTATTTTTTACCTTGAGTAATTATCTTCCTCTTCGTATCTTTCGTCCATTAATTTAAACCATTCACTTTTATTTTCAGCCTCACGTCAAGCACAAATAAAGCGAGTTGAAAATTGGTAGATTAGCTAGAGGGTCTCCAGAAACACATTTTTATAAGACTTCAATATTGCATAAATAAACGCTTTTATCAGTTTTGTGGTGCTCATTTCATGACTTCTTTCATCATATTTAATTCCTTTTCGACATCGGAAATTAAATGCATCATAATAACCTTCTGTGAGATTATTAATCGTAATCATTATTCAATAATAGAGATAGCAGCATATATGCCAATCGAATGCCATTACAAATAATCTTAATAAAAAACCGTACTCAAATGATAAGAGCTCATAGAGGAGTGAAACTGCTTAATGAATATGTAAATTGTTATTTTACTTAATATATATAAGAAAGATTTTCTTTATTCCATCGAGCTTACTTAATGTCCAGCAAACGTGCATTTTGTATCCCGCTTTCGAAGAACAGGGGCTTGCATTTTGGGATTTACTTTCTGAAAAAAAAAGAAAGAAAACGGAGATTCGTGTATCTTCGAGTAACATATATGAACAGTTAGAAAGTCCTCCACGAAGGCATCCCTCCCTTTAGGCAGATAGCCCTACTTTGCTTTGCCATAATTAAATACACCACACCATATATGAACAAGACTTTGGACAACATGGCTGGAATAATTGGCATAATTCTTGTAAAGGCACGTATTTGTGATATTTGTTGAATCAAGTGCTTGTTTAAACATTTGTTTTAAAACATTTCAAGCAACCCAATTTAATTTTCTAGATGTACTCTGATTGCTCACTCGGTTCTCAATACCCCCTTAGAACAGTGAGATGTCTTCATAAGGGTCCCGTCACAAGGTCACCTTACGCAAATCGGTCGCTGTACGAAAGACACAAACCTTCATAAGGATACCTCCAGTGTAAGGCAGCGCATACAAACTGAAGACCAGTTTCTAAATTTAATATTTCCAATCGTTCTGTGATTTCAGCCTTGACGTAGCCGATCTGTGTAAAAACTGTAAAAATCTTGTGTTTGCCTATCTGAAGTCAAGCAAATCTAGGCTGGCTTGACTAACTTCCTTTCCCCCTTACTTTTAGACTATTTCTTCATCATTGAAAACCGCTGCTTTTCTAGTGCTTAGAAAGTAATCAAAATCATTATTTCTGCTAAAATATCTTAAATTTCCGGTTTTACTGAATTAATTTTTACTTTATGCACGAAGAATCAACTTGAAATGTCTATTGAAGATCTGTAAGTATTAAATGGTAAATGTGAACATGCAGTTTTGAGTTTCATAATTGTAGTAAAGTTCTGTTGTAAAAGTAAGGTTTCTTTTCCGTAGGAAATCCAGAGAGATGTCTGCTACATACCTTGTTCAGATTTCAAGTGGTCAGTCAAGGGTTGGAGTCACTGTAAACTGGATGACAACGAGTCATCAGGATGTGGCAACGGTACACGATACAGGACTATTAAGTAAGAGATTCAAGTAAATTTTTGCTCTTTGATATGCAAATATTGCAAGGTGTTTTGGTTTATCACTAAACTCTGCCAGACAATCTCATCTGTGTTCAGTCAACATTCTCAGCTTCTTAATGTCAGTAATTTAAAATCTGAATTTTCTTGATTGTTTACTTCTTTAAATGAGCTGATTAAATATTGGCTTCTTTAATATTCCCAACTAAGGATGTTAAGATTTATAATAATTTATCAACGTAAGATATTATTCTTAAGAAAGAGGTAATAAATATTTCTAAATGGTGCAGTAATTGTAGTATTGAAATTCTGCTGCATTAACAGTTTTCATTCAAATATTGAGTAGTCTTCTATACTTGTGTATATTTCGTCAACTTTCCGTATCCATGTTGGCCATTTTGATAACCTTTAGTTTAACTCATAGTTTTCCAACCTTTTTCACTTCGCTGCCTTCTTTCTTCAGATGTGCTGAACTTCTGAATTTGTTCAACGGCTCCATACTTTGCAGTTGCATTGCATATTAGATGCTCTTTAAATGTGATATGCCAGGAATTTAGTGACTAAGCACTGAAAAATTTAGGTACTTGTTGCACTTGTATTCCATCGAATTATTTATTAAAGTTCCCTGTGCAGTACGGAAGTAGAATAATGATGACTAAAAATTCATCAAAGCATTCTTATTATAGAACTTGAAAAAAAAATTACTCGAATTTCTGCTTCAGCCGGCGCACAACTACTTGCACTTGCAGGATATCGATGCAACTACGGATTTGTGGTCATACTTTTCGAATTTTAGGCTAATAGTGGGAAACCTGCATTTTGTATATCCCTTTCGAAAAAAAGAAAACGAAGCTGCATGTACCTTCGACTAACATATATGAACATGATCTTGGATAACATGACTGACATGATTGGCATAATTCTTGTTAAGGTGCGTATTTGTGATATTTGTAGAATCAAGTGAATGTTCAAACATTTGTTTTGAAAAGATTTTAGGCAGGCGAATTAAATTTTCTAATTGCTCACTTTGTCCTTCAATACCCCGTTAATTTCCCTTAGACCAGTGAGACTCCTCATTAGGGTGTCCGGTTATAAGGTCACCCTTATGCAAATCGGCTGCTGTACAAAAAGACACAATCCTTCATAAGGGAGCGCGTACAATCTGAAATTCAGTTTTTAGCTTGAAACCAAGCAACCTTAACTACAGTGTGTGAAATCTTAAGATATAGAAAGCGCCCGCTTCTTTATGGAAAACGTCGGTTAGCCGTAAGGGTGCAACGTTTTCTTCAACCAGAAAAATTTTTCAGCTTGATCTTCACAGAAGCGGTTTTGAGGATTTAAGAAGTTAAACTTATTTTTATCGAAATTACAAACTGTCGTACAGGTAAGGATGTGACAAAAATGCATACATAGTTTTTTTTTTTTCGTGGGGAGGGGGGTTATCTGTAACGAATATGAGCCCTAAATTAATAAAACACCTAAAACTAAATCTTGAATATTCTATTAAATATTCAATATTTACTTATTTAATCTAATCAGTGAGAGGGCCGACATGTTGGTCAAAGAGGCTGCTATGGGTAATGCCGGGGATGCTTTCGATATTCGAGCATCAAAAGAATTGTTATTGGTAAACTCAAGGACTTTTATTATGAGTGCTGGAAAGAGAAGTGGAACATTTCGGGAAAATGGAAAGATTATTTATTGAACTTTGAAGTTTCTAAAAATATGAGAATGATATGTGATTTTTATTACAATCAAATAATAACTGAACAAGGGCGCTTCCCGGTGTACATGAAAAGATTTAATTTGCAAAATAATAGTCTTTGTAGTTTTTGTAGTGCTGAAGGCAATGAATGACGTTTCGTCGAGTGCGTATTATTGCGACATGTTAGGTAAAAGCATGGTAACATAAAGGAATTTTCCTGACACAGCTAAAGAGTTTAGATTTACATAGGATTTGATGAACTTTAAAAATGTCAATAGGACATTGGGAATTTTGGTTTGACATTTTTAATCGTTTTTCTGTTTTAATCTGTGTTTTAATCTTCTAACTGTATTTTTGTTTGTTTGTGCTGCGTCAACCATGAGACCAATTATTATCGGCCAGGAGAATTGCAGCACACTCGTGTATTACGTTACATTACGTTCTATCTAATAGTTTAAATAGTCTGTCTGATTTTATTTCCCCTAACAATGTCGATTTCAAATACAGAAAAGCATAATTACTGTTAATAATGGAATGTATCGCCTCTACCCAATTTAATTTTTCGTCTTTTCTAGAGTTTTTTCGAAATCCTGGCATTGCATTCTGCTACAATGGCTGTTATTTTGTTTATCAAATCGTATTTTATCAAATCGTGATTTGCGATTTCTTTTGATGAAACCATGGTGTTTCTTTACACAATTTAGTATTATTTAGTATTTCTGCATTCTGAGTATAGATTCTGATTTCCTGCATAGTTTCTTGATCCGGTTTTCGTGTTTAGTTTTCCGAAACTCAATATGGAAATTAATGTTACTGAAGTGTTTTTAAGGTATGAAAATAATTCTGGGTACGACCTTTGAATTTTTGTTTATTTTGTATCCAATTTACTCAATTGTCTACTATAGTGTTTACTGTCGCTGCAGTATCTACGACTAAATTTTTCTTAACATCGAGATTATGGGTACATTTACAATTATAGGTACTTACATATTATCGCAACCATCTTAGTAGAAGTAGCCAAATTTTCAGATAGGGCCAAACACTGGCAACTATGCGCATAAACATTCTTTTGGCAAGTATGGACATAACCATTCTTCTGGCGACCATGCTCATAACAATCGTTTTCGGCCGCTGTTGCCGAAGATTGCAAAGCCCAGTCTTCTCAATTATGTGGTGTTGCTTTAAGTAAAAACAGACCGCTGTGTACTTCGAGAGAAGAAAAATGGAATTACAGGAAAAGTAAAATTACAGAAAAATTCGAAGACGAATGTCGGTGCTATATTTTTTCAATGTATGAATTAATCCCTATTTAATAATTAAAATTTGCACTTTAAGTTTCTAAAGTATATTTTCTTTTCCTATGTTGATATTGTTTACCAAATATACTATAAATATTGATAGTTTGGGAAGCTTTCTAAAAAAGAAGGCGCGAAAACCACCATCTTGCACATGCTAAGTAACTTGTACTTTTTCATCCATAAAAAATCGCCAAGATGGTTGCGATGCTAAATTACACTTATCTAATTTAGTATAATTATTTATAAATTAATAGTTGAAAAGAATATCGAACTTGTATAAGAATGTTCATACCTTCATGAAAAACGCCGAAATGGCATAAGAATTCCGACGATCAATTGCAAGCTAGAAACTGATCGTCAGTTTTTGCGCCATCCCTTATGCTCCCTTCCCTTATGAGAAATTTTCTGTCTTTTCAAATAGCATAAGACACACTTACATAAGGCTCGTGGACCATTAACCCGCTCCCCTCCCCCCGATCTCCTCAGCATTCACTGGTGAGTGATTTCGCTCATGTTGGAACATTGGCTAAATGTATGTGTATTGATGGTATCTTAATTAACACCACAGCGTTCAATGCAAATATTTCACAGACGTGTCAAGACCGTTAAAGCGGAGTGTTCTAAATAATGTCTACTATATGTTACAAATCTAAAACAGACAATAGCACGTTCAGTATCGGTGTTAATGGCAATCTATCTTCTATACTATTAAAATCTGTGTGCCTCTGTCTGTTTGTGTGTTTGTAACATCATCTTCTCAAGAACGGCTGGGTGTAGAGCTTAGCGGAAGGTACCGTTGGATTCAGAATGCCCGTGGCTCGCCGGATTGACCATCGGCATCTTCGTGCGACTTTAATTAGCCGAGATATTAATTAAAAACTGCTTTTTCCCCTACGTTTTGCACTTTCTTTCACCCGTTTTCCCTGTTTTAGGGATTTGGCCGAGTGCCAAATTCGTTTTTCTCGAATATCTTCGGAACGGCTCCGAGTTGCGATTCGAAACGCATATCTCCGTATTCGAAAAAAATCAACGAATCCATCGATACCGGTCCCATCTTCGTACGACAATAATCGGCGGAGTTATTAATTAAAAACTGCGAAAACGTTATTTCATTTTTCGGAGTGGCAACCGTCTCGGAATTAGCTGAGATAAAATTGCTTTTTCGAAAGCGCCGGGGGATTGACAATTGCTTCCGCTCGAGATTTGTGCTGGCGAAAGGTCACGTGTCAATTTCTTTTTTCTTAAATATCTATGGAACGGCGCTGAGTTGGAATTCGAGGCAGGTGTCTGCGGATTCCAAAAAATTCTACGAATCCAATGATACCATTCTCATCTTCGTAGGACGTTCATCAGCTGAGATATTAATTAAAAACTGTGAAAACGCTAATTTTCGGGCTCATTTTTCCGATTGCAACAGTTTCTTGAATCGCCGCAGATACAAATCAAGGTTATATTCTAAAGTTGAATAAAGCACGCGATTCCTTTTTTACCTAACTGTATTTTAAAAATATTTCGTTAATGTAGGCATTTTAAATAAACAGCTGCTTTTCACAATTTTTTTTTAATTTCAGGTTAGGATGATTGTCACGTTAATTCTTTTATTGATATTGAATAAAAGTTATTATATTACATTAAATTTAAATGATGACGTTCTTGAAGTTGTACAACTTTAATCAGCTGGGATATTAATTAAAAAATCTGAAAAAGCTATTTTTTAAAAATATGTTGTTATTTTTTAATAATAAATTTGATTTTTTGGAATAATATATTTTTTATGTTATTAGATACGTGCACTTAATTTAGATATTATCTTTTAATGCAAATGATATTTTAAATAAGTTCGCACCATAAAAATTAAATTCACACTTTTTTTTTTTTTTTTTTTAGATTAAAGATTTTTCTTTGCTCCTTTGAGATGGTATACGGTAACTTTCGAATCCCGGTGAGCAGGAGGCTACACTCATGTTTTTTTGTGATTTTACGCATATCTGTTGTGT